GTAAAAAGGGCAAGTCGGTTGTGGTGTGCCAGAACCGACGATGAGGTAGGCCTGAGACAGAAGAGGGCCTACCCAGGAAAAAGAAATAGAAAGGAAATAAATGTTAAAATTTGGTGTGGTGGGAGGGTCATTCAACTCTGACCTCGAACGGTAAGGAGCAAGGTAAGGGGTGTGCCTTAAGTAGGCGTGGATACCAAGCACCTCCCGCAAATCCAGGCCAAATTGCCTTAATACATATATATATATATATATATATATATACACACACACATATATATCTATATATATATATATATATTGCTGCACATCCAGCAATGTGGTATACATGATTCAATGCACCAAATGCCACCTAGGATGCTACATTGGGGAAACCACCCAGCAATTAAATGGCTGAATGAATATGCACAGACACTCCATTAAACACCACAAAGAAGGATCATACTGCACTCCTGTGGGACACCACTTTACCCAGCCTGCCCACTCAATGAAGGACCTAAAATTCAAAGTACTAAAGGTGGTTTTAAAAATACCCAAGAAAGGGGGGCGTGGCCGACAGAGCAAAAGCACAGACGTGTCCCTATTGAGCTCTGCACCATAAACAAAAACTCAACAATTATACCACCCTTTTGAGCTTCAGGGGGACACATATATGGCAGCCCCAACAGATGAAAATATGGGGCGCAAGCACTGCAAGTTTCCACTCCGAGAAAGCCCTAAAATGCCCGATATCAGGCTTTCCCTTGAGAGGCCTACTCCGCCAAAGCCGCCTAAGATGGCACCTGAACCTCGGGAGGACGATGAGGTCTCTGAGGAATCATACAAAGAGGAGGAAGAACTCCCCTCCCCGGTACCGGAAAAGGACTCCCAGGAGGATGAATCAGACGAGGATGCCTCTCTTTCCACTAAAGGAGACCTTAAAAAACTCATGGCAGACCTGCTGGAAGTGTGGGAAGCCGACCTGAGAGAGACGCCGGAGGAGATGGACGTTCTCCGCCAGAAAGTCCAGTAGGTGGAGTCCAGGGACACGCTGCTACAAGCTACCACGGGGCAGGTGGAGAACCTGGCCCAACAAGTACAGTGGCTTAACAGTGTGCGCAGCATCCCAAGGAGGATAGGGGAAGAGGCACTGATGCCCTTTATTCAGAGACGCTGATGCCCTTTATTCAGGCGCTGAGCCACACTGATATCAAACGCATTCCGGATCCGCAAAGCAGCCGCAGGACCAACTTGAGCACCGAGAGACACCATAGTGGTCACCAGGGATGTCACGGTTCGCGCTGCCGTCCTGGTCCACTCCAGAGACAAGGGGACGTTCCAATTTGAAGGCTGCACAGTAACAGTATTCAGTGACCTACCATTCCCCGTCCTGCTGGAAAAGAGGCTCCTAAATTCAATAGCTGGTCGGTTGAGGTAACATTTGGTGAGATACCACTGGGGAGGAGATGGCTCGCTGATTGTCCTGCATGGAGACACCACCCTGACCGTGACCTCCTCTGGGGACAAGGAGGCAATCCTGCGATGACTGCAGCTGCCAGCTGGGCCAAAAGAGGGAACATTAATTCAAGGCGAAGGAACTGTGACTTGATTAATAATGAAGTCAGCTCCAGTTGGTTAATTTGCTATATTTACTTTTGCGCTGCTTTCAGTTATTACTTATCCAGTATGGAAACCCAATGTTATATATCTTAGTTTAAAAAGACAACATTTTTATGTATATGCAGTAAAAGACACTAATGTCTACTATATTGGTTTGAATAGATAATATGTATGCGGTATAGGAGTATGGGGAACCATATCTTAGCTTAAGCGAACATAAGAATGCAACATATACCTATATGGCCGTAGGGCTTGATTTAAAGCTACTAATTGACTACAGTAGATTACTCTACCACTTCCTGCCCTTGTCCGGTGAGGCTATATAAGGCTGGTATATAAACTACGGGCCAGTGGTCTTAAATACAGTGACTAAAAGATTGTGATCCGAGAGCCCTATGACTATATCTGAGTATAAAGAGGTTATATGATACCACCCTGACCACTTCAAATCACTGAAGTGGTCATGGTGATTGGAGTAATCTTTAAGTAAGATTTTTCCGATCCTTATTTGAGTATTAGATGTATATTTATAAAAATCATTATCTAATGAATAGGGTCTACTATTAAGGGTTGCATGCATGGCTACCAGGTCAGAAGATAGTACTTCACCAGTCAAAGGCTACCAGGTCAGAAGATAGTACTTCACCAGTCAAAGGCTACCAGGTCAGAAGATAGTACTTCACCAGTCGCCACTGCTCCCAACAGTCCAGGATCCACTGGGACCATCCCAGTTTCAGGGATAGTGTCTCACATTCCTGAACAGAAATGCAGGTATTTAGTGGCCAATCCTAAAATATTATCATAGATTATCAACATTTGATTGCTTATTTCTATTATTTGGCTTCCATATTCCATAGAAACATAGAAACATAGAATGTGACGGCAGATAAGAACCATTCGGCCCATCTAGTCTGCCCAATTTTCTAAATACTTTCATTAGTCCCTAGCCTTATCTTATTTTGGAAACTCTGCATATTTTGGCTATTACAAAATTTCATGTTCAGTTAAAGTGACATTTTCTGTATATAAAAAAAAAAGCAGTATACAATGTTAATACATAAATGCAATTAAGTTTCATTAAAGGGACACTATAGAAACATAGAATGTGACGGCAAATAAGAACCATTCGGCCCATCTAGTCTGCCCAATTTTCTAAATACTTTCATTAGTCCCTAGCCTTATCTTATAGTTAGGATAGCCTTATGCCTATCCCACACATGCTTAAACTCCTTTACTGTGCTAACCTCTACCACTTCAGCTAGAAGGCTATTCCATGCATCCACTACCCTCTCAGTAAAGTAATACTTCCTGATATTATTTTTAAACCTTTGTCCCTCTAATTTAAGACTATGTCCTCTTGTTGTGGTAGTTTTTCTTCTTTTAAATATAGTCTCCTCCTTTAAGGTGTTGATTCCCTTTATATATTTAAATGTTTCTATCATATCCCCCCTGTCTCGCCTTTCCTCCAAGCTATACATGTTAAGATCCTTTAACCTTTCCTGGTAAGTTTTATCCCGCAATCCATGAACCAGTTTAGTAGCCCTTCTCTGAACCTCTCTAAGGTATCAATATCCTTCTGAAGATAAGGTCTCCAGTACTGTGTACAATACTCCAAGTGAGGTCTCACCAGTGTTCTGTACAATGGCATGAGCATTTCCCTCTTTCTACTGCTAATACCTCTCCCTATACAACCAAGCATTCTGCTAGCATTTCCTGCTGCTCTATTACATTGTCTGCCTACCTTTAAGTCATCAGAAATAATCACCCCCTCTCTTCCTATGGTCATAGTAACGCAGCACAGAATCCCCAAGTTCTGTATCGCACACCTTAGATAGCGGTGGACTTATTCAGCCGAGGGACAGAAGCACATAGCTAAACACAACACACCTTACACGAAGTCGAGGTAGACCAAATATGCACGAAGCCGTGCTGGGAGGCGAGGCTCATGGACTCGCTTCTCTTCCAAACGCAGGACGTGGAGGAGATGCGAGTTTCTGCCCCCGCACAAGTCTGGCGAGAAATAAGCCCAGACACTGAAGGAGGTGCACGAAAAGTGCATCTCCATTTCTTCTTTACTATCTTCTTTACTATTTTCCTCTATTATCTTATTTCCTTAATGGAGACTCTCGAGTGGGGGCGGGAAGGGGGAATGGGGTGGGGCAGAGGGAGGGGACAGTTCCATAGGCGTCTGAACAACTGTGACCTATGACGACGACATTGACTTCCCTAAATGTAAAGGGCTTAAACTCCCCAACGAAGAGACGTTTATTATTAAGAGGCTGAAAGTGGATGTGGCCTTCGTACAGGAGACGCATTTATCGAAACAAACTAAATTTCAACTAAAAGACCGCTCATATGGCTCAACATATGAAGCTAGAATGCTAAGAAAACATAATGGAGTAGCGATAATCGTTAGGGACAGCTGCCCTATTAGAATATCCGCAACCGAGTCGGACCCTAATTTCAGGTACACTGTTCACCCACCGTGTCCATTTGATTAATGTTTATGCATCAAATCACCCAGACGCTGCGTTCTGGGAGACTCTACAGTCTAAAATCCTTGCCTTACAACACGGAATGGTCATAGTCGGGGGAGACATGAATGCAACACCATGCCCAGCCATAGATAGAAGTACACACAGAGGCTCACTGCGGTCACAGGGGATGGGACGACAGGACAAATTATTCCATAGGTTCATCACAACAACGGGGTTGGTGGACGTGTGGAGGGCACATCATCCAGGCGTCAAGGCAAACACTTTTTTCTCGGCACCGCACAAATCCCAATCTAGAATAGATATGTTCTTGGTTAACGACACGAGCCTA